ATAATGCATATATGAATGGGAAAAATAAGACTCAATTATGCGCATTAATTTAGATCTGACAACTGACTTAGTCAAACACCACTTAATGCTACATAATATAAATGTTGCCAACTGCATTTCAAATACAGTTTGCAGGGTTTGGTTGAGTTTTTATTTTATCTGTTGCAAAAAAAAAAAAAGACTTCAAAGTCTACCTTAATCTCTCTTCTCCATACAGCTACTTGGAGAAGATCAAGAAGTTATATGAAGTCCTGCTGATAAAAATTATATGAAATATTTTGCTTTGAAATTTGCAATCCCTTTATTGACTTGGGTATGTATTTCTTTGATATTCCTCTTTTTGGGATATGCAACAGTTTAAAATAATAAAACACTGTGATGTTTTTGAAGCACGAGATTGCTAAGCAAGCTGAGAGAAAGCAACAGGGGGAAAATGATTTACCCTCTACAATTTAATTACTCCATTATAAAGGATCAACCAGTGTCTCTTTATTACTGCAGCTACTACATCTAGCATCTTGCAAACCCTTATAGCAAACTTAATGCACTGATATGTGCACGGGAAGGTGCAATTTATGGACAGCCCCTCAAAGACCAAAACATATGCCCTGTTTCCAGTGGTGGGTTTCAAAAAATTTTGGAACCTCTTCTGTAGGTGTGGCCTGCTTTCTGGGTCCACTGGTGGAACCTTTTCTAACCGGTTCGGTAGATTTGACGAACCGGTTCTACCGGTTACCATAGGAACCCACCTCTGCCTGTTTCCCCAAAAATAAGCCTCCCCCTTGAAAATATTGCAACACAGGAGGAGCCATAAGGTGACCACGCTTGCCGCCTCCTGCATCTCAAGAAATACTAAGACCTCCCTGAAAATAAGGCCAAGCGCTTATTTTGGGGGTCAAAAGAAAATAAGACCCCGTCTTATTTTCGGGGAAACACGAGTATTAGAAATATTGTTGTATGTAAGCAAGCACATGGCATTCTTGTTCATAAAAAATAGGAAAAGATATGCAGCTGAGTGGCCCTTTGTTCTCCGGACCAATATTTTTAGCACATTGTATTTCACGGAAGTGGCATTCTTTCATTCTCTCCTCTACTTCTTTTACTAAGGGTCACTAGCATTTGACCTCTAGTTTGGTCTTTCACTGCAAACAGTGTGCTGTGTGTTACCATTTGTAGCAAAGAAGCATTCAGAAAGCATTTTGCTTCATAGACAGAGTTTCGTGCCCCCTTTTTTCCCTGGGGTGATCCTATCTCTAAACCCATCACCTTTTGGAAAAGCTGGTCATTATTAAACTGTGGGCAGGAAAGAACTCTAAAGTTACTATATGATCCCATTTTTGAACTGCACTCTTCATGACAGGATGAAATAGTAAGAAGGCAGCTCAATTTGTCCTTTTTGTTGGTTGATACAAAGGACGCTTGGTGTGCACTTGGCATATAGTCAGTTTAAATATCTGCATGAAATGATCCTATACTGAGAAGTTCCCAATCCAGAAAAGTAATGAATCTTTCTGAGTGAACCGACATTTGTATCAAAGTTTTAAAAAAGAAAAAGGAAGAGCTCTCTGTTAACTTCAATTTCTAACTTCACACCCAGTTTCTGAACAAGATCAGATTAAAGCATTGGTCAGCTTTAATGATCGTTATCATCAGTGGTGGGATTAAAAAAAAATTACTACCAGTTCTGTGGGCGTGGCTTGGTGGGCGTGACATAGCTTGGTGGGCGTGGAAGGGAAGGATACTGCAAAATCCCCATTTCCTCCCGATCAGGACTCAGGAGGCAGAGAATAGATGTGGGAGGGGCCAGCCAGAGGTGGTATTTAAACTACTCAAAATTTCTTCTACAGGTTCTCCAGAACTGGTCAGAACCTCTGGTTATCATGTGTCTTCATTGGCTTTGTTTATCAGAAATAATATTTTTCCTGATATCTGCCTTGAATGTAACAGCATGTTATATATATTTAAGTAGACTTAAGGATATGAAAATATGATGTGCATCACACAAACACATGTATATTAGAGTAGGGATTAGAATTTGCCCAAGAATGCTGAAATCTTGCGTGATTTATGCATTTTCTTAATGTTCTTTATATATTGTACAGTATTCATTCAAGGCTCTGTGGAGGACAGTGAAACACAATTTCCAGGTGCCTAGATCATAATTGGGTTACTAGTTCTTCAGTTAAAAAGGTGGGGAGGGATTCAGCATTCATATATTTAAGGCAAGATTCATGAGTGATGGCAGGGCACAGGCTCTGTAGGCAGAAAAATGAAGCTTTAGTTCCTGTTCAGGAGCTCATGGGAATGAGATGCTGGAGATACCACAAACTGAACTGAAGAGCTTTTCCTAACCTTGAACCCTCCAGAGGTACTACAACAGCTTGTATGCTGGCTGAGAAGTCTATGGCTTCCCAGGCTGAAATATCTGGAGGACCCCAAGTTGAGGAAAGCTGCAGTAGATCATGGGGAGATGAATCAATGGTCTGGTTGAGAACAATGAGAGGAGAAGAACAAAAGGAAGATAGATGAATGATAATATTATCCTTGGGGATGCCAGATCATAATGATCTGTTTTGATTGGCATGCCCAGATCTCCAAGAAAGATCTGCTTGAAAATGGCAGAGCTGAATGCTGAGGACATCTCTGTTCCACAATGGTAGGTGAGCATTCACTGCAGGCATGGAAATGGCAGACGGGGTGGATCCTGGAATGACTGCAAGCATTGGATTAGCTTACATGTGATCACAGAAATGCTCACCATGGTCCTGAGACCCAGCCTCACCTCACGGGGAATCTCCATGGGAGGGAAAAACAAGGGGGAAGGAAGAAAGGGTCAAATAGTGTGGCTTTCTCATTTCCCCCCCTCTTGCTCTTCAGCCAGTATCTAGCTCTATCTGTGTAAATTTTGGTAAGACCTAAGTTACGGAATCCTCTTTATGTATTATTTTAATGTACCCAGATGTTAAAACGAAGAGGAAAAACCTACAATACAACCACCTGACTTTTCTTTCACAACAAACACACAACAGAACTGGAGGTGGGGGGGGGAATGGTCATAAAAATGTAGATGGAAAAATAGGTAAATTAAAAAAAAAGTTAAGGGATGTCAAAAAATAATTGTTGACCACTTCTCCCACTATCTTTGTAACTATACCCAGCCCCACTGAGATTAGCCTGATAACCTGCAGGATAATATGTCCAAGAACAGATACAACGTGAAGTTGCAACTTTTGTTGTTTTAATTTTAGCTTTATTTCACTAATCTGTTGACAACCAAACATAAAGATCTCAGCTCTGCTAATTCTACTTGCATTCATGGGCAAATGGAACTATCTATTCCACATGCACATCTGTTTGTTTTTCACAACAAAACGTTGTGAAACTAGATGCTAAAAGCTCATACGACTTGTCTGCAAAGCATGGCCCTGACTGCTCCGTTGTTTTAATGGGGGGGGGAGGGAAAGGCTGCACAGATGTTGATGACAAATGTAGCATTATAAGCTGATACATTAGATTAAAATGCCTTTGACAGTTGAGCTGTTGCGTGGCAAGCAAGTCATTTGCTGCAGTGCTCCTGGCACCCTGGCAAATAGCATGAGCATCGATGGGTCCTGTATATCCCTCAACTGGGAAGTAGCAGCTGTTCTAACTCTCTGGAAGGAAACATCAGTTCTTAATAAAAGAGATGGTTTAGATGCCTTCACATCTCTGAGGCAACCAGAGATATGAAACTGTTGATGCACATAGTTGCTGCATTTGTGTGTGTGTGTATTTGTGTGTGTGTGTAAGATGCTTTCATGATAGGTTGATCATTACTGCTTGAAATATTTGCAAGGGAATCCTTTGATGGTAGAAAAATTCATGTGTGCTTGCAAGCTAATTCATCAGATGCTTGCAAGCTATTCATTCGGTATATTTTTTTAAAAAAGAACCCCCCCCTTTTTCAAGAAACATATCAGAAAGAAGAAAGGGAGATGGTTCAAGCTGTCAATATGTCAGAATTAATTATTGTGGTATTAATGGATGGAATGAACAATCATACCTCGGCCCACATCATGGACAACAGAATAGTACAGTGTCAAAAACACATTCTCTGTATCTACTCCCCCCACCCAGTAGTATTTTCCTCCACAAAGAAAACTGCACTGCAAGAAGAACTCATAAAACTATCCTTGATCTCCACATCCTTCTTTGTAGTTGTCTCCCTCCCTTCACCTGATCACCTATGAATCACAGAGTAGGCATCTTGCAATTCCTTCACCTCTGTGTGGGATAGGAACAACCTGAAGTGCTTGTGTGAGTCATTTTCCTTCCCTGGTTTTCCGTAGTTACCTTTCAATAATTGAAACAGAGTCATTGTGGGCAGTAAATCCTCTCTTTTTTATTCCCCATTCCAGAGCAGAGAAACTGTTCAAGGGTCCTACGGGTCATATGCAGTGGGTCGAAGTAAAATTCTGCACAGGCCTCACTGCTTATCTAGCAATAGCACTTAAACTTATCATATTTTTTGGACTATGAGATGCACCAGTGTATAAGACACACCAAGATTTTGAAGAGGTAAGTAAGAAAAAAAAGTTTTTGTCCTCCCTGGCCCCCAGGAGCACTCTGCAGGCTTCAGCAGGGCTGGGGAAAGGCAAAAATGCCCCCGTTTTTCACCAAAGCGGGGGCATTTTTTCCTCCCCCCCAGCCCTGCTGAAGCCTGCTGAGTGCTTCTGGGGGGTGGGGGAAGGCAAAAACACCCCTGCTTTGGTGGAAAACAGCCTGTTTTTTGCCCATTTTTCACAAAAATGGGGTGTGGGTTTGGGAGGCCAAAATGGCTGTATTCGGTGTAAAACATGCACAAACATTTCCACACTCTTTTAGGGCAGGGGGATAAAAGATATGTCTTATACTCCGAAAAATACAGTATTTACCACTTTACAGTGCTTTACAGCCCTTTCTAAGTAGTTTACAGAGTCAGCCTCTTGCCCCCAACAATGTGGGTCCTCATTTTATCCACCTCAGAAGGATGGAAGGCTGAGTCAACCTTGAGCCTGGTGAGATTTGACCTGCCAAACTACTGGCAGCCAGTGATCAGCAGAAGTAGCCTGCAGTACTGCACTCTAACCACTGTGCCACCACAGCTCTCCAACACATGGACTGTCTTCATTGGGAAGTCATTAACTATACATGGTCGTACATTTAGCTGTACATGCTTGTACATGTAACATGCTTGGGAAATACAAAAGAGTCAGTATGTGGCTATTTCCTTCCCCTGAACCCTGGGAGCAACTCTTCGGAATCCATGACACCACTGGACAGCATTATTACACTTGTTAGATTAACAGATTGGATACAGGTCCTAGCTAAAGTGGAATAGCTTAGACCAGTGATGGCGAACCTTTTCAGCACCAGGTCACGTCCCGAAAGAGGATCTGTCCAGGGGGCATGCGCCTGATGGAAAATACACTTCTGGTTTCTGGAGGGGGCATGCATACCAGTCAGCTAGACTTCCGGTTACTGGCGTGTATGTGAGCGCGATGATCAGCTGGCCGGCACGCATGTTCATGCCGGGAAATGAAAAACCAGCTCTTCCAGTTTCCTGAATTGCCACATACACAAGGGCCACCTGATTGTTGCGTGTGCACATGCACCAGAAACCCGGAAAACAAATGGGCTATGCCAGGCGACATGGCTGCCACTTTGGACACGCGTGCCATAGGTTCACCATCACGGGCTTAAGCTAATTGTCCTGGGACCAGACAGAGGAGCACCTTGCTGAACATTTTGCCCCAGTGCTTTGTCATAAACACATGCATGCAAGAGGAAAAGGGTGTCTGTGTGTCCTGGTTTGAGTACACCACCCTAACCTGGAGCATGGACCATTTGGTTTAAGAAAAATGAGGGTTTCACATGGAATTCCATTTTTGGAGGGGGAGAAAAAACCCAGATAAGTTGTTTCTGTGCTTCTAAAGCTCTCGGACTTTCATGCTGAAGGAAGGGGCCAAAGGCAGGGCAGCTGAGCTACTCTCTTACCCCTAAAGATGGTCTCTCCATGGCAAGGTTGAGGCACAATGGTGAGGCAATGCGGGAATGTTTGTGGTGCTGTTGCCTCCCAGGTTGTATCTGCTCTATAAATAAATACAGGACTTTAGTTGTCAGAGCTGACATTTTGGCACCTTCCATAAAGACACAAACATACGGGATTTCAAAGGGGGGGAAAAAAGAAGAAAACAGGCATTATTTAATTTAAAAAAAAAAAACAACAAGACCACCCTGTATTTCAATGTCCACATCTCCACCGAGCGGACCTAATACTTCCATGCCTCCATTTT